ACTAACTCAGTGCTGACACAAGAGACAACGCCCTTCAACTGACATTTGTTTTCTCAATAACTTGTGGCTTTGCTGAAAGAATGGTAAATATTCAACTCCCACAGAGGTACATCCAAACCCACACACATGTATGCACGTAGCATAAACAGAGTATTAAATAGGTTTAACACTATGTCAACAAACTCAGTGCGTTGTCCCCAGAGGCCTATAAGCTGAGTTTCTTAAAGACCATTGTTCACCTCTGGCTTCTTGTTTATAACTGAGCTTGGCTTTGCCACATGTGTGTCACTGGCATTTATATATAATGAATATGGGTTAATACAGCAAGTGTAAAAGCAATCACAGTAAAATCTAAGTATTATTTATATATTTCCTAGTGAGCAATAAAAGTAGACCAATGACAAATGTCATAATTCATTCTACCTTCTTAATATATGAGCAGACATGCTATTCCATGCTACAGGTTAGACCAAAGCCACAGAAAAGTGATTACCACAAATAAAGTTTAACTACAGAGCTAATTACCGTATACAGAATTAATTGGAATTTAAAAATTCAAAATGAATGTGGCAGCACAGTGGCGCAACGGGTAGAGCTGCTGCCTCTCAGCGAGCAGGTCCCTGGTTCAAACCCCGGTCCAGGGGCCTTTCTGGGTGGAGTTTGCATGTTCTCTCCGTGCATGCGTGGGTTTTCTCCGGGTACTCCGGTTTCCTCCCACAGACCAAAAACATGCATGTTAGGCTGATTGGTAACTCTAAATTGTCCCTAGGTGTGAGTGAGAGAGTGAATGGTTGTTTGTCTCGTTTGTCTCTATGTGGCCCTGTGATGGACTTGCGACCCGTCCAGGGTGTACCCCGCCTCTCGCACAGTGATTGCTGGACATGGGCACCAGTGACCCCCATGACCCAAAATGGAATAAACGGGTAAAGATAATGGATGGATGGATGAAAATGAATGTGAATCTCCATCAACAGTTCTAAATATGCATATTAACATATTAACTACTTTTACAATCACTTCCAGGAAAAAACGATGACTGGTAATGTCTAAATCCAGATTCACGCTGCAACTGTTGGCACACTGCACGATGCAAGACTTAACAGATGGCTGACTGTATGACTCTTTGCAGCAGTATATTTGAGCATGCCACAATTAAACAATACATTAAAATAAAGCTTTCGCATTTTTTATAATCAGACACTGAAAAGGGAGAGAAAACAGACAGCTGTGGCCATGCGTAAGGTTGGAAAAAAAGACGTCAGTTTTAACAGCAGTCACATAATTGCACAACTTGTGACTTTTGTCATAGGTTGTGTTTGATAAGAGTGCTGAACCAGCTGATGGTGAACCTAGCTTAAGTTATACAGTATGCATACTTCCCAGTCTACCTGTTAATGAACCATGAAGTCTATGATGTAATTTTGTCATTCATACCTGTCTGTGAGGGTTAGCTACGTAATTTTGTGATTTTGCACGCGCATACAGCAACAATAAAACTCCCAATCAACAGGTGGCGCCAAACACAAAATTACTACCAGAAGTAAAACCACACACACAAAAGAAGATACACACAAAGGAGCATTAGGAATGGCATTAATCTGGCCTACAGTTCTAATGTTAAAAATCTTGGTGTTATTTTTGATCAGGACATGTCTTTTATCCCCCACATTAAAAACGTTACTAGAGCCGCCTTCTTCCACCTGCATAATAACGCTAAAATTAGAAACATCTTATCTAAAAATGATACAGAAAAACTGGTTCATGCTTTTATCACGTCTAGACTGGACTGTTTTTTTCATTCAACCTTTATTTATACAGGTTAATCCCATTGGGCCTTGGGAACTCATTTTACTATTGCAATGGTTTATTAACTGGGTGTCCAAATACTCCTTTAAAAGGTCTTCAGTTGATCCAAAACGCTGCTGCCAAGTCTTAACTGGAGTTAGTAGAGATCATATCTCTCCAGTTTAAGCTTCTCTCCATTGGCTCCCTGTCAAATCCAGAATTGAATTAAAAAATCTTACTTCTAACCTACAAAGCTCTCAACAACCTAGCTCCATTTTATATTCAAGATCGTATTGTTCCATGTGCACTTCGCTCTCAGACTGCAGAGTTTCCAAAAGCAGAATGGGAGGAAGATCTTTCAGGCTCTTGTCTTATGAAACCAACTTCCAGTTTCTGTCCGTGAGGCTGACACATTGTCCAGTTTTAAGACTGGGCTTAAGACTTTCCTATTTGATCAATCCTATAGTTATGGTTGACTATTCATGCTTGGGCTGCAGTTCAACATAATGTTTTTATGCTATTAGTGCTTAATGTATATTTAGTTGATGTTTTTCTTAGTTCATATCTTAGATGTTATAATTGTTTTTCTTTTACATTTTATTGTTGGATGTAACTGGGACCCTGTGTACATAATTTTGCTCCACCACATGAGGTGCGAATGGCGATAAAGAATCTTTGACTCTGACTCTGACTTGTTATGCTGCTATAGGCTTAGACTACTAGAGGACAAAATGACCTAATTTCTTTAATTGAATTGCTAAAATTGAATAGTTTTAATTTGATATTTCTACCTTAACATGTGATTCTTGACCTGCCATTGTGTATCAAGTCAAAAGTCAAAGTCACTTTATTGTCAAAAACTGCAATATGTACAGGACATACACAGGATTGAAATTACATTACTCTCAGACCCCGGTGCAACAATAACCATTTAACATTAAATCTGTATCTGTTCCTATCAAAGCTATAGCCGGTCGAAGCAGATGGCCGCTTGTTCTGAGCCTGGTTCTGCTAAAGGTTTCTTCATCATGAGGGAGTTTTTCCTTTCCACTGTCACCTTCATGCTTGCTCAAGATGAGAGTTCTGTGATGGAGTTAAATTCAAAGCAGTCTGCTCCTCAGATAAATAGTGTTAAATTATTATTATATATATATATATATGAATATTTCTGTTCGGTGCCCTGAGACAACTTCTGTTGTGACTTGGTACTATATAAATAAACTGAACTGAATTGAACTGAATACTCAGTGAGGAGACAGAATATGATTTTCATCCAATTTCAAACACATGATAATAAAATAAAGAAACACTAGTCCTTTCTTGTGTGTTGTCTCAGACTGTTTTATGAATCTGATCAAGAGAGTCCTTGTATTGCCTGGTTCAAGGTTTTTGCACTGTTTTGCTTTGCTGCAGTGCAGCACTGATCATTTCTGTCCATGCTACCCACATGTCTAACCAACCATTTGCCACCACTTCCACTGTTTATCCAGCTTACCAAGCACGTGAACTCCCATAATGACACTAATTACCCAAGAGTTTGCTTTAATGCGGCCTAAATGGTTGTGTACTACTACACTGTGCCATATGTCTTCACTTCCTAAAATGATCTGCCTTGCAGACACTAAAAACTGTGAGGACACCAAGAAGCACCTTATATCCATAAAACTACTATGGCAAACTTTTTCATACTGCACCATTTGATAAAGTTCAGAATAACCTATTTTGTGTTTGACGTCATATTTTATAATAAGTAAGTATCTAGAACTGATGACACACATTCCCAATTTCATCAGTGTTTTTTACATGTATAATTTGCACCATTCCAATAAAAATTAAACAGTATCTAGTAAACATCTACTGATGACAGATAAAGCCTTTTTAACAGGATGAAAATACAAAGCAGGAGGTTAGTTTATTGTAGCTGGATCTCCTGCTACCCAGGCAGTTGAAAAACATTTGCATCAAAAACATTTTCCCCAAAACTTGAAAATTAAGAGAGCTATTGTTGAGATTTTTATTAGTTCTATCAAAGTGTCTTTGTAGACAATTATCAGCGAGCACAAATGAGCTGTCACAACTAGTGCACTGCAAATAAAAGCATGGCAGTGGATGTTCTTTTCTCGTTTCTATTAGAAAAATTGGAGACAAACTGTGATGCATTCGCTGCTGTCCCCAGGTGTGTTTTGCAAACCTTAAAAAAAAATGTATAATTATTCTTGAATGGCTGTGTTTGTATTTCAAGAAAGCATAGAAATGAAAGAAGCACAGTACCTCCTGATCCAGGAGGTTAATGTGTGTCTATGCTCAGCTGTCGGATGTAATTGAAGGGAACAGCTTAAGAAAATGAGGTGGCAGGGATGAGGTCTTTAATTAGACCAAGATCACGGGCAGAAATGAATTAGAATCAGCACTCTCATTACAGCAAAACTGGAGCAGCACAACTGTGAAAACTTCAGTATACCTGAGACATAAGTGTAAATTAAATATTTTAAAGGGGTCTCGCTGTAAATTTATGTATTGTATCTGAATAAATGAGAGAATTTGTGCTCTATCCAGTAAAAATCTGTGTGTTCCACTACATCTGGAGGCTCATTTCCTCATATAAACTCAGGGGTATCTTATTTTCCGAATAAGGTTCTGCACGTTAAAAGCTTAATTTAGCTTGGCTGGATGAAACAACGTGGAACGCATGTGCCATCTAGTGGTAAGGTTTGAGGCCCGAATAAAAGTAATTTAAATTTTATTTTTATTTCATATTAATGATTGAACTGATTTTGCCACCACATGACAAAAAATGTTTGTTTAATAATAAATATAAAACCATCTCGTTAATATAAAAAAGAAACAGGTAGATGATACTGACTTATAATAAAATTTATTAGCGGATAACGTAATTAATATTTTATTATTTGACTCAGTGGCTAATTAACTGACTTAAATACTTTACTTTTAAAATTAAAGCCAGTAAAAAAATATTTATTTATCCCGCTATTTTGTCTTTAAGGCAGTCTTTCTCAAAACATGACTCTCAACGCTGTGATCTAATTGGTGGATTGGCACGCTCTGCTGCCTGAGAAGTCTAGAACGGGAGAAAATTTACCCATGGCTTAACCTGAAAGAAACTAGCTGTACAGTACTACTAAAAGTCGCTCGTAGTCATTTTTCCTGCACGTGCTTGTGATGGGGCCAAACCGAACCGACTGAAGTTTTATGAAGAGGAAAACAATTACATAAACTTCTGCTTTGAGACGTTTCTCTCACTAAAGTTAAATAGGTGGGTGTATGTGTGTTTAATGCGCTCGACTGTGTTTGCAGCTTTAAATGTTTAGGTCAAACAAAAAGTAGTTGAACGTAATTTTTGGTTCAAAAGTTTTTCAAACACTCACATCAAGTGACTTTTAAATTTAAGTGAACATGTTGTTTTAAACACACAATGTAAAATTACAGTAAACCGACGAACTTGAGAAAGTACCTAATTTCCCTGTTGACAGACTAACTTGTTATGAGAAGTTGAACAAAAATAGCTCAGCTTCATATTCCTCTGCATATTTTTCCCGCCCTAACGTTTAAAGAGATGTAGTTAAACTCAAGCTAGTCCACTAATGAAAAATATAATGGGTACCATTAAAAAAATCATCCTAATTATTGTTTTTTTTTTCTCCCCCATTGTCACATTTTATATATTGGAACATAAATTTATTAATAAATTACTCATTAACTTTTAATTTTAAATACCTAGGGGGGAGCACTGCTAACATATTAGCTTGTTTGCTACAAACAAATGAAGTGTTTTTATCATTCATGTATCTGTCCCCATTATGTTTAATATAAGCTTTAAATGTAAACCACCTTGAAAACTCAAACAAACATGAGACTATTTTTTTTTTTTTCTCACAATTTAATGTTGCTTTTGTACTGCTTGTTTAGATGTAATTTCATTGAACAAAAATGTGTATTTTGTCTGCATGAAAATGTTAAATACACTTTTTTATACTAACCTAGACATTGCACAGACTGACCTCAATGAACTTGTTTTAAGACATTAAACAGTGCACGTGCCCTTGAGCTTTAAAGTCATTTTATTAATCAAATTCTCGTTCTTTGTTGTGTTTAGTTTTTTTGTGCCACTATGAAGTACATTCTGGTTACGGGTGGAGTAATATCTGGTATTGGTAAGGGTATTATTGCCAGCAGTGTTGGAACAATCCTTAAATCTTGTGGCCTTTATGTCACAGTCATCAAAATTGACCCGTATATCAACGTCGACGCTGGAACCTTCTCACCTTATGAACATGGTTAGTAATTTACGCAAACAGCTATGGGAATATTTCTTGACACTGATCATCTGCAGCTTTGTTAAATTATGTAAGCCCTACAGTCCTGCAACTTAGCTTTGAAATTAGGGTGCCTAAGGCGTAGGTATATTTTTGTAATAACAATGAAAGAACATTGAATCTACTGGTAAACCAGTTCTATAATGAATGGATATGAATTTCTATTTTTTTCAGGTGAGGTGTTTGTTCTCGATGATGGTGGGGAAGTAGATCTCGATTTGGGAAACTATGAGCGTTTCCTCGACATCCGCCTTATCAAAGACAATAATCTCACCACTGGGAAGATCTACCAGTCGGTCATCAACAAGGAGAGGAGAGGAGACTATCTTGGCAAGACCGTACAAGGTTAGAATCAGCTACACTTTTTGTTCAATAGCTTTAGTGCTAAAGGCAAAGCTAGACATAAAAACATGTCCAAAACTACTGATGAGTTATTAAAATGCAAACACACAGTAAATTTTGTTTTATCATTGACATTATTAGTAGTTCTAAATGCAAACATTTATAAAGTTCTGTCTTAACACTTATTGGAAATGTCATTTGTAAATGCGTGCAAAATGGCCTTACCGCAGGCACACTTAAGAATAAGGAGTGAGATTTGCTTTGCAAATCTTTTTTTCCCCCTTTATTCCCCGCTTGAATGTTTTCGCAGTGGTACCCCACATTACAGATGCCATCCAGGAATGGGTAATGGAGCAGGCGAGGATATCAGTAGATGATGATGGTGTGGAGCCTCAAGTGTGTGTTATAGAGGTAAGAAGCTCTCAGCAAGTGCTTCATGTTGATATCCAAAATTAATTTAGTCTGTAGAGTGAATGGTAGCCCACCCACGTTTTGCCAAGTCAGAATGTCACATTAATACTCCTGCGGGTCATTCTCTAATGATTTGTGACCAAGATGTTATTCTTTTAGTGAGTTAGAGAAATTGAGGTTTTGGATCAGGTTTGAACACAAGCTTATTGCCTGAAGCAATAACAGACATCTGCAGCATTCAGCAAATCACTCTTCCTACACAAAATGTAAGTTTCAGTGAAGCCAACACATAAAAATCAATTTTAAGAGACCAAAACAAAATCAAAACGTATAATGGATTTTTTGTGATCAAAGCTATAAAACGATCCTGCTCTGTCAGATGTGTTGTTTCTAGCCAAGAAATAAAATGCACCTCAATAGTTGATTTAGCCTAAAAATGATAAATCTCTGTGTTATAAATCAGTTGTTTGTTTATGAGCTGAACCGTAAAGCTTATTTCATCTTTTGAAGAAAAATAATAGCAGCAGAAAAGCATTAGTTCTTTATAAGCAGCGTTATTTTATTATCCTGCCTCCAGCACTTTTCTTCATAGAGCATACTTCAAACCTGCTCTGACAGTATTATGGCCCACATGCTCCTGACAACACAATGTTCTTTTTAAGACCGTCGGAGAACGTTGTGAGACTTGGACAATCCTCCACCTGTGTGTTCACGCATGAGTTTTTGTGTTCTAAGCAGTTGTTTTGTGTCAACAGCTGGGAGGCACAGTGGGAGACATAGAGAGCATGCCTTTTATCGAAGCCTTCAGACAGTTCCAGTTCAAGGTGAAGAGGGATAACTTCTGCAACATCCATGTCAGCTTAATACCACAGGTATGGTAAACATGGGCTGCATGTAGTCTTCACCATGTACGACGGGAAGAGAGAAAAACTATAGCACGGATCTAACAAGGTTAAGTCAGGTCCTCTGGCCAGATTCTTCTTGTTGAAATGTTTCGTCTTTTATCCAAAAGACTTCTTCAGTCTTCAGCCTGAAGAAGTCCAGACTTAACCTGGTTAGATTTATCTTCCTGGATTATTGAGCATGCATGAGGATATAGCAGGGATGAAAATTAACATTAAAGTCAGTCGGCCCTGTTGGTCCAGTAGAAAACAGCCCTCAGATTTAGTTTCTGCATTGAGTTTATTTAAATGTCTGTCTGTTGCAGTGATGTCAGAGAGCACAGCAGTGGTGAGAGAAGAGAGAAAAATAAATTGATAGATTTTTTTTTTAAATCTCTGAATTATTCGCAATCATTTTGCTTGATTAATGAATCAGTTCTGTTGTGTTTAATCCTGTCACTGAACATAGAATGTTTGATGTCATCTAGGCAGAAAATTGAACAAAATATAAAACGGCTCCCCACCTCCCCCAAAATCACAACTGACTTGTTTTTCACTTTGCAAATTGTTCTTTGTTCTCAGCCCAGTAGTACAGGAGAGCAGAAAACCAAGCCAACCCAGAACAGTGTACGAGAGCTCAGAGGATTGGGCTTAACTCCAGATTTGGTGAGTTCTTGAACATTTTCACCAGATTTAAACCTTTGCCACATACTTACTGTAGGTCAGTTCTTCTGGGTTACAGTTTCTTTTAACAATCCTGATGACGATTAGATGTGGCTTTAATGTTTTTAAAGAAGATGTAGAACAATAAAACTTTGTTGATGTTTTGAACCACTTTGGCCATGGCTGCCTCAGTGGGGTTGATGGGGAAGAGGGCGGACTCCAGAAACCATCTTATTGCCATCAAACTGGTTGGTCCACTATGGGAATGTGCTACTTATGGGACTGAGTTTGTTGTGGCTCCTCAGACTGATGAAGTCCTTTGGATGAAAGACGAAATGTTTCAACAAAAAGAAACCGTCCAGAGGACCTGACTTAACTTTGTTGGATTTTTTTACCTGGATTATTGAGCATGAACTTTGGATATATAGAACACTTTTTTTAAGTGCTCAAGTATTTCTTGAGGACAAAAATATTGCACTTAACTTAACTTAACTGTATACTGCCCTCTTAGTATGACCCCACATTTGTGGAGAAATTACTGTTCCAGTCTGATTTAAAAACTCCGAACTTGAAACAAACATAAAACACAACTAAAGTGTATCACACAAACTGTTTAGTGTTATCCTTCAGTGGTATCTTGACATTTATGGTAAATATTTATCACAGATTTCCACTTTACGGACTTTCATCATCGTACTCCCATCCTCTGCCTCATCTTTACAGATTTTGGCTTTCTGCCCTTGTTACACCCTCATTCACTTTATGATCAACTGATGAAATTATTGCAGTACTTCACTCCTTTACACCGCTTTTCACCTTCACAACAGAAGAACAATTGGTTCAGAATTTCTTTAGTTCTTTAACCATGTTTTTGTTTAAGGACTTTATTTAGTGTGCGTTAGTTGACGATGTAGGCCTAATGTGACCTATAAATTTTTAATTAATTTGCTGTTTTAGATTTACAACTCATTTGTGTTAGTGCCCCTTTAATTATAGTTCCCTTGAATAATTTAATTCACTTGATTTAAGAAATAAATCTCTTAAAGTACACTATAATTGCCTTCTTTCCTGCATTCTGATAAGGTGCCCATGACAATAGTCAACCTCCCATTTCAAACCCTTAATTGCCAGAAATAATTTAATCCTCTTGCAGAAAAGATTAAAATGACAATTTGTGGATCATTTTGCTAATAAAATAGGAGGAGCTGCTATTTACACGTTTTATTTTTTGTGGAATAGCTGACTGTCAGATAAATGTCAATAATGTGATTTAATTCACATCTTTTTGTTTTTAATCCAAACATCAACAGCTTTGCTGTCAGAGCCAAACAACCATGCAAAGAATTACAAATTTAAGATCAATATGGCAAATTCTCAGCCCTTTCCAGCAAGAAAAACTTAGTTTGATGTTAAATTTGTTTTTTTCATCTTTTTGTTTAAGAGTTATCTCACTGTGTATCTTACAGGATGTGCATTGTGGCAAACAAATCTTTCCTCATCCTTCTTTAGGCTTTATACATTTATCAGATTTCTCTTCTTCACATGTTATTCAAACATTAGTCAGACTTAGTTAAGCTACTCATTCATACTTGAAAACGTCTTATTATCTAGAGACCATAAAAAAATACAATACTGGCAGGATGTCTGCAGGCTAGAAATCATAGTAATGTGTGAGTTATCAGGACTTTAGGGCAGTTCTGTGTCTAGGAAGGTGCAAACTGAATGCTATTGTGTCCAAGCATGGTTTTAAAATTCACACATTTTGTTTTCCATCTCTGAATGATGCTTAAAAGCCTGTTTTTATTGTCAGATTATATGCCGCTGTGCAACTCCTCTAGAAACATCAGTCAAAGAGAAGATCTCCTTGTTTTGTCACGTGGAGCCTGCTCAGGTATGGGTTTATCTTGTCAATAAATAACAGGTCTAAACTCGATGCACAGTTATGATCTAATGCAGTTTATGTAAGAATCACTTAGATTTGCAATTGTGATATACTAATAGATTCATGTAATTTTAAAGGAACTGTAGCACATTGCAAGATTTAAGGTTTTACAAGTACATTTGCTACTAAAGGTACCATTAATTGGACATTAAATACAAAAAGCTTTAGCAATTTTTAAAGAAATTCTGTTAATTTAAGTTCTCAGAAAAGCTATCAGGTATAATAGCAGAAGGATAAAAAAAATATTACTGACAATTACTACAAATTATACATTTCAAGGTAAAATTGAATTGTTTTAGCTGTGCTTTTAATTTGAAAGTAAATACTAAGAAATAACATGTTTTCCTACTATTTGCAGGTGATCTGTGTCCAAGATGTCTCTTCAGTTTATAGAGTGCCTCTGCTGCTGGAGGACCAGGGTGTTGTAAATACCTTGTGCCAGCGACTGAAATTACCTGTTGAGATGAAGCCCAGGAAGATACTCCTGAGGTGGAAAGAGTTGGCTGACAGGTCAGGAAGTTGTTTTTTAGCTGCTTTCTTTTCCAACTGGACACATACTTTTCAGTTATGGAAGAATTAGTTCAGTCACTGTTACCACTGAAAGTTGGTACAAACCATTTAGCTCCTAAAACAAGCATGGTGTATTCATTTTATTGTTACGTCCTAATATGACTGCATTTAAAATGATCACACTGGACCAGGATTTATACTATTAATGTGAATCATTTGCTTTCCTTTCAGAACGGATCGTCTCTTGGAACATGTCTCTATAGCCTTGGTGGGCAAATACACAAAGCTATCTGACTCTTACACATCTGTAATTAAGGCCTTAGAACATTCAGCTCTCTCCATTAATCGCAAGTTAGAAGTCAAGGTAAAGACATTTTTTTGTGCAGCATTGAGAATTTGATATCTTAGATAACTAGTAGAACCTGAAAAAGGCTACATGCATGCCTGTATTTATACAGAATATAAACTGCTGGCAGGATGTTGACTTCTACTGTTTGTTGTTATTAAAGTATATAGACTCTGAAGACTTGGAGACCGCAACTGCAAAAGATGAACCAGTTAAATATCATGAAGCATGGCAAAAACTCTGCAGTTCTCAGTAAGTAGGCAACGCTGGAATAAAATCTTTGACGGTAGAATAAAAGTGCAATTGTCCTATTCATGCCACAAGATGACAAAGAGAAATCTGTAAAAAAAAAAAAAAAGTGAAGAAATCATTTACAAAAACTTTCACTTCTTATTTTTTAGCTACATTTTCAGGACTTTAAAACATTTCTTTTAGAAAAATTCAACATTAGGTTTGTGTTAGTATGGTATTATTATATTTCCTATGTTTAAAGCTATTTCTGATTAGCAGTACATTTCCCTTAGTCATATGAGCTTTGACGTCCTTGCTCATTTAATAAAATCTTTCCTTTTCTGTATGAATCTTTGACTGCCTGACGGTCAGCCATATTAAAAATCTGAGCTTCCTAATGGTATGTCACATATTGACATGCTCATGTACAGCCCTTGTTACTCAGTGAAGTTTTGTGAAAAACTCCACTCATTATTGAGACATTTAGAGTCACTGGTCGTGATTTCAACAGAAAAGTGCTGATCCCAGTTTCAGTAACGTTACAGTCTTTGTTGAGCAGCATAATAAAGTTTGTTTAAATCTTTGTAAATTATTATTATAAGTGTGACTGGAGTGATTATTTTACATGTTAATATCTGCATAATAACAAATGAGTTAACATATTTGTGATTTTACAAATTTGTGAGTATTCCTGCTGATGTTCTGTTTGTTACGCAGCTGGCTTCTGACTGTGACACAAGCTGTTTTCGTCTGCACGTAGAGCGGGTCACTGATAACTGATCACTCAGGCAGATTTTACTGTCGGGTGTAAACACTCGTCCTTAGAGCTGGTCATTTGTGATCAAACCTGCCATGACGGGTCCTGTCTCTCAATGTAGCTGGACGTTTATCACAATTTTTATTTGAATAAAGCTGTGTAAATCTCTCATTGGTGTCTGATTAAAAGGGAAACTTGACAGTCTTTCCTTTGAACAGAGGTGTGTTGGTACCAGGAGGGTTTGGGGTACGAGGGACAGAAGGCAAGATGCTGGCTATTAGCTGGGCGAGGAAGCAGGATAAGCCATTCCTGGGTAAGAGACGTGTGTTTATCAAATCTTTTGCACATGACATCGTTTTATAGGATTTAATTCTGCAGGCAGGTCTGATGAGAATCAGCTGTTATTGAAGACTAGTAAAGTTTGTTGCTTAATTGTCGTACTGTGTAAGGGCATGCGAAGCAATACTTAAAAATACATATGCTGTAGACAAATGCAGCTAGTTGTATGTTAGAAGCAGTTTTGCATAGCAGGAATCATTTTCAGTCACTTATGAACGCTTTTCTAATTATGGTTTTGTTTTATGCAGGGGTGTGTTTGGGCATGCAGCTGGCGGTGTGTGAGTTTGCTCGAAATGTTCTTGGATGGGTAGGTGAGTAGCTGTGCAATTCAGCTGTAGATTTGAGAAAACAAAACAAACAAATGTAGAAGTGTAGCTTGGAAGTCGAGGCGGGCTTAGATCACTTTTGCTTCTCGTTCACAGACGCCAACTCCACAGAATTTGATCCAGAAACCAAACACCCCGTGGTAGGTGATGTTTTCTCCCCTAGCTGTGCTTCCATTTCATTTTATCAGCACAGTGGCTCAGCATCCTGTTTGATCCTGACAGGTGATTGACATGCCAGAGCACAACCCCGGACACATGGGAGGAAGCATGAGGTTGGGAAAGAGGCGGACCATTTTTAACTCCAACACCAGCGTGCTGAGTATGTTTCCTCCTGAAATAAAAGATGGTTCTCCTTTCTTTCCAACAAATGCTGTTTTGTAACATCCAATGTTTAATTGTTGCAGGGAAACTTTATGGAGATGTTGATTATGTTGAAGAGAGGCACAGACACAGGTTTGAGGTAGAGTCCTAAAAAAAGTTATTGAAGCTTCTTCTTTTTTTTAAAATCAGAAAGTAAAAGCATTTTTATCTGTACAAAATGAACATTTTGTAGTTATTCATTTGGAACATGTTCAAGGACTTGTTTAAATAGGGCAAGATAATGGGAATTTATTGCAGTTCATCTCATTATAGGTGAATCCTGAACTGAAACACCACTTTGAGAAAAAAGGACTTCATTTTGTTGGCGAGGATGAAGAAGGAGAGAGAATGGAGGTGATTGAAATAAAAGGTGAGTAGATAATAAGAACAAGTTTCCACATACTGCTATTATTTCATACGATTTGAACAAGACGTGCTCTAAGTGTAATTCAAAATCCAATCCATTTAGAGCATTTTTAGAATTGTGTCAAGTGGGGTCTTTATGTTGAAGAGATCATTACCAAATCAGTTTGCTTTATTTTCAGATCATTGTTACTTTTTTGGAGTGCAGTACCATCCAGAGTTCACCTCTAGACCCATTAAACCTTCTCCTCCATATCTGGGTCTACTGTTGGCTGCTGCAGAAAAACTTCAGTGTTACCTTAACAAAGGCTGTACCCTCTCTCCAAGGTAAATACTGATCAACCCTTAGAAGAAGGCCAAATACAGGTGTTCATGTTTAAGGTGTCAAACCATGTTTAACTGAAGTTTAAAATATTTAATTATTCTCTAAAGATTATTCTTCATATAATTTGAATGGTGGTTGTTGAATGCAACATAACTCTTCCCTGTTTTATTTAACACTACGAGCCATGGTTCTTTCATCCGTTTGTCACAAAAGTAAATGTACAGCTGCAGTGACGCAGACAGGATGAGCAACTTACTTCATTTTAGCAACATGTTTTCCCAAAGTTGCCTACAGAAAGAAGTGAATATTCTACAGCATGAGTCTGCATTAGTCTTTTATTCCAAAACAGTTTCCATTATTTGGGAAGACTGACCTGTTAGAAAACCCACACATTAAAAAAATAAGTCCATTTCTTGCTGCTTAATGGTAAAAAGCCACTGTGATGCCTCATACCATAAATACCATTACAAAGCCATAAGAGCTGCAGTCACAGTTTGGTGTCTTTACAAACAGAAATGACCACATATGGACAAAACATTGTAAGCTTGAGAGAGAAACGTTTCTCTTCAGCTTTTCTTTTGACAAGAGGAATTAAATCACAGTACCTACCTACCTATCCACCTACTAAGGATGCAAGATATTGGATTTTTGGTCGATATCCGATATGTTAAAACTTATTTGGATGATAACCGATGCCGATACCGGTATTTTATATGCTTTCCTTTGTCAGAACATATCTCTCTTATTTAGGCTTTTTTGCTACAAAAATTGTGCAACAGCTGTAAGAGCTGGTGACATATTCAGTAACACGTATATGATATGCATAGCATTTTGACTTTTATTAAATGAAAAGTGTTAAATGTTATTTATTAGCATTAGTCACTTGCAATGCTGTCCCACTGGTGGAGGCTTGTTCCAGGTTCCTAGCTGCAGTGTGGGATCCTCTGCACTCTTGTGCCTGAAGGACAGACTTTTTAAGTTCAAAGTTTTTGTCTTTCCATTGTGCCGTAAGACTAATCATGTTAACACGACGTCCAAATGTCTGTGGTAAAACTTAACTCACACAACAAGTTGTGCTATCAGCTATTAGCTTCTCATTGATGTCGGAAATGACGGCTTGTAGCTCGGGTAACGGACGTCGGAAAAATATCTCTGACTGGAGACGATGTAGCAAGGCTCAACGTAGTCCAAAAATCTTTGGAATCTGACATCCTCACCAACGAAAAATAATACTTCCACACCGCCGACATTTTGAATTTTCCTCTCCGCCGTGAGATCAGGTAGGTGCGCTTGACGTCATCACGTTGTGCTGCCGCTGCAGGTAAAAACAGCGCCTTTTATATCGGCGAGTTATTTTAATGGAATGTCCGATATTGAACTTTAATGCTAATATCGGCCGATACCATGTCGATAATATCATGCATCCCATCATGCATCCCTACTACCTACCACCTATTACCTACTATCCATTACCTACTTACTACCTACCTACTTACTACCTACCTACTACCTTTTATGGTAAATTGTAAATGGACTGTACTTATATAGCACCTTTCTATCTTATTTCAAAACACTCAAAGTGCTTTACACTCCAATCTGTGTCCTCATTTACCCATTCATACAGCACTCTACTAGATCTCTACAAAGCTAATTGAACAAATCATTCTAAAGAGACTAATCAGTGCTTTTAGATCACATTCATACACTGATGGGACACGCATCGGAGGCGATGAGGGGTTCAGTGTCTTGCCCAGGGACACTTCGACGTGTGACTGCTGTTGGATTCGAACTCCCAACTCTTGCATTGGAGGACGACTGCTCTAACCACTCAGCCACAGCCGCCCTTACCTACTACATACCTTCTACCTACATACCTACCTGTCTTATGTAATATATAATTTAAAATAAAGATAGAAACATAGAGACAAATATAATCAATATGTATATAATTTTAATTATATTACTCAAATGTTGTTTTTACTTGTTGGCGTCTACTTTTAATGGTAAACATCCTGTTATTTGAAACTTTGTCCATGTTAATGATAAACGGGTGACATTGTTCGTTTATATGAAACAGTTAAAAGTTCAAGTTTGATTTTATGAAATATAAATTAGAGTGACCTTTGAAAATGATACTAAATTTCATCACTGTAGCAGTAGCTTCATTACCTAATTGAGTAATTATTTTAAATTATGATCAGAACCCACAGACTAGTGTATTCCAGTTAAAATTTACAGGGACATTATATCAACGTTGGAGTCACATTAAAAATTATATTACATAGTAAATATAACTGCTAAAGTCCTATTTTTATGCATTCTCTCTCATTCCAGGGACAGATACAGTGACTGCAGTTGTAGCAGCTCTCCTGATGTGGTCATGAATGAGCTGAACATCCCCTTTTTATAGCGTTGCCTCTTTTGTTACTCGTGGAAAAGTCCCAGAAAAGAAAGAACCAGGAATGACTTAAATTGATGCTGCAAAAGTAACACTTTTATTTAACCTTTTTTTTTAAGGTTTGTGAATTTTATTTTGAATAGGTTCTACTGTAGTTATACAATCTTTTTAGGAGCAAACCTGTGTCTTATCTGGAAAAGCTGTTGAACATGAAATAAAATACAGAAAGGTGAATAATAAACGGTAAACCATCAACACAGAGTGACGCAGGGTGAGGTGTGAATCTGTATTTGCATTTAGCTCTGATTTTTGTGGTATTCATCTTGCAAACAAGTTAATTTATAGAAAACATGAAGTCAGACAGTTGTTGTAAGACTGTAAATTATTGTAGTTTATCTATTTGAAATATTAGTTTTTTTTGCATTTTTTATTTTTATTATAAGTTCAAAGTTTAAATTTGACTCTACACTGAATCCAAATATAATTGAGATTAAAAATGAACCGCACAGTTTTTGTATTTTGCATATCTGCACGTTGATTAGGTGTTTTCGAACTGGATTTGGACATCTTTCAGTCACATAAACAGTATTTTAATTTACTTTATTTTGTTGGTTTTTTTGGTCTTAATTGTGTGATTTAGAACCTTTGTCTTTATTTCCTACAACTTAACTCCTGCTTTACTTTTTTAATGTTCAAGGCTTTTGCCTCCTACAGGTAAACATTTTAAACTCTTGCCTTTTACTGCCATATCTGCCTCAGTACTTCCTAACAGAATTATGTCTAAGCAGTTAATCTGTCAAAGTTCAGCCTACTACAAATGATTTATGTGTCTACATCTGCATGACACAACTTAATTCTGTATTTTAAAAAGTATATTGTAAGAGTTTAAAGGCTGTACTTGATCTCTGTATTTCAGTGGCAAACAACTGGAATCTTATATAACGTAAGTAATATTTTGCTTGGCTGACTTAAAGTTACACAAAAACTAGCAGCGATATGTTATTACAATCGCATACAATTTGTTTTATAAAGAAGTTTACATGCGTGTGTTAAGCTGTACTGTATATGATTTTTTTAAATATAAATGCTGTCCTGTTTCTTCTGATGTAATCATGATGATTGATTCTTAGATATAAAACAAGTTCCTCCTGGAGGCTGTAGGAGTTTCTACATCAATAAAGTCAAAGTGCACTTCAAAATAAACATGCTGACCTTTCAGGTTTAAGTCAAAAAGCACATTTAAAACAGCAGCTGTTACCAAAGTGCTTAACAATAAGATCAAGGCAGTAAATTAAAGAAAGAATAAGATGTAATTACAAGCATCAAAATAAGATAATAACACAAAAACAATGAGAATCAATCAAACTAAATCAAATCAAACTGTTAAATGTCAGTGAACACAGTGCAGGTGTGTTTTCAGGAGAGATTTAAAAACAGGAAGTGAGGTGGTCTGTAATGTTGAGGGGCAGATTGTTCCAAAGTTTAGAGCCCATGACTGAAAAAGCCCGATCTCCTCTGAGCTTCAGCCTGGTTTTGGGTACAACCAAAAGCAGCTGATCAGATGATCTCAGCACCCGAAAAGGAACATATGGTTGAAGTACGTCAGAGAGGTATGAGGGTGCAAGGCCATTTATGCACTTAAAGGCCAACAGGAATTTTTTTTAATCAATTCTGATACGTACAGGGAGCCAGTGAAGGGAGGACAAAACTGGTGAAATATGCTCAAACCTACGAGTTCCTGTTAATAGCTGAGCCGCAGCATTTTGGACGAGCTGGAGACGTGAAAGGGGACACTTGACTCACCCCAACATAAAGTGTGTTACAGTATTCCAGCCGGGTTGTAACAAATGCATGGACTATTCATCAACTTCAGACCTGGTCAACACGGACTTGAGCTTAGCTATCCGTCTTAACTGGAGGAAGCTTTTTTGTAGAACAGTTAATCTGTTTAATCTTAAGTTTATATCCTTGCGGAAGACACAAAATCAAACTCAGTAAAAAAAGTTTTAAAGTATTGTAAAATGCTTAATGTCAAATTATTTTTGAGGGAGGAAAGTTAAAGTTGAATAAATGAAGAATACTAAATATAAGCATTTGCTTTAGTGAGTCTGTTGCAACAGAATGTGTATCCTAAGTCAGGGGTTCCCAAACTTTTCCATTCTATGCCCCCCCCCCCCCCCCCCCCAAAAAAAAACAAAAAAAAAACAAAACAGCATTAGCTTCTGGCCGAGGCCCCCTCGCAAACCCATAAGCAATGCTACAAAATATGTAAAGAAACATCAACTTTTAGAATGTTTTAACTTTTATTCACTATATTCAATTAATTATTACAGCTGCTGAGCATGAACATATCAACATGTCTTAAACACTGTATTATATTCCCACTGAAACAACTTTTCTACAAACTGTTGACCAAAAGAACAACACAAGAAATCTAACCTCTTTCAAGCGCGTTTGTCTGGAAATGACAGATACAGATTGCCCTAGAGGGCAATTTTTTTAATTATTATTATTACTATTTTTTTATTTTTGCCTTTTCTTTTTAAAAAAAAAATCTAATTCTTTCCAGCTTTCTTGGGGCCCCCTGGCAACCCCCCAGGGGGCCGCAGCCCCCACTTTGAAAAACACTGTCCTAGGTCTTTCTCTATGGAGGATGAAATGTGACCCAATGAAATAAATAAATACATAATACAAACATAACAATTAAATGTATCATTAAGTTATTAAATACACCATTAAATAATGAAATGTTCCTTTTAAATTATTTCATGATTTATTTATTCATTTAATTTTGTCACCTTGCTGTGGAAGACAGAATGTGACAAAATGAAATAAATAAATGAAATAAATAAATACATAATGAAATGTATAATTTAACTATTAAACACATAATTAAATACACAATTACATTATACACCATTAAATAATGAAATAATGGTCTTTTTAAATTATTTATTTCATGATTTTATTCCATCCTCCAATAACATCATGAAATGATGTTAACCATCAGTCTAACTTGTCAAACTCAGTGGGCGGGACTAGGGCGGCTCGTTAAAAGCCCCTGACGCCTGATTGGCTTCTCCTCACAGCAAGTGAAGACGAATCGACCGCAGATAATGGATTGATCCACAGGCAAGAAAATATATTCCGAAATTTTAGAAAGCAGTAATTGTGTTAACGAGTATTTGGATGAAACCTTTTTTTAAACCATAAATGTAAAGAAGACGTGCTTTAACGAGCTGCATGGAGGGAGCTGCCATGTATGAACTGACTTCAGACCGAAGCAATGGATTTCACATGATCAGCGTTAGTCCCGCCCACTGAGTTTGACGAGTGAGACTGACATTTAACATAATTTCATTGTGACACACGAGGGTGGAATGTGACAAAAATAAATCATGAAATAAATAATTTGCGTATTTAATAATTTAATTGCGTATTTAATAATTTAATGATGTATTTAATATTTAAATAATACATTTCATTATTATGTATTTATTTATTTCATTTTGTCACATTCTGGCCACCATATTTCTCAGGGCTCCATTTTTTTTTCCAACTTCCTCTTTTAGATAACGTTTAATCCAAAGACAAGCTCATAAAGTGGTTAAAAACAGCTGCAAACTGGAGACTAAGAGTTGTCAAAGTCATTCTTACTATTTTTTGTTAATGATGAGTTTATGAGTGAACAACAGGAAACTACAGTTTCACCTGATAGGGTATCACACACAGCTCATAAAACTTCCTGTGGCATCTGGCTGTCTCTCAACAGCTCTCCTTGTGTCCTTTTTGCTTTCGCCCCTCCCTTTGTCAAGTATTAACAGGCAAACTTTAGAAGTCCACACCCCTGCACAGCTACTCCCACGCTGGTAGCGTTTACGCGTTAACTCAGTGGGACACATTTTTCCTCACACCTTGTAGAGAATGTTGATGAGCCACCTTGGGAATGATATCAAGGTACGTTAGCCATCAAATGCACAGCAGATTGTGATGGCTCTGAACCCAGACTGAGCGTTTGTTTGAGAAATCAACAAGGAGTGGCTGTTTGGTTTGTTTCTCAACATTTGGAGTGTCAGAGGTAAGGAATTAGTCTGTTTGAAGATGTGGGTGTTTTAACTGTTGCAGGTTTCTCCTGTGTCTTTTCAATTTGAACAAAAATATCTTTTTCCTCCTCCTCTGTAACATCCCTTAACCTGTATTCTTCATATTTTATATCCCCATCAGACCCCTTCATTGTCTGAAAAGCTTGTTCCTCAGTTCCAGCAACAATGGACCTGACCTTGTGGCAGTACCAGTTCAGGATCATCATGCTGGGGGACTCGACTGTGGGGAAGTCCTCCCTGCTGAAGCGCTACACCGAGGACTCGTTCCTGGAATCCATCAACGAGACGGTTGGTGTGGACTTCTACGTTCACTTCCTGGAAGTGGAGCCGGGGGTCCGTGTTAAGCTGCAGTTCTGGGACACAGCTGGGCAGGAGAGATTCAGGTGAGCACCATCTGACATCAGCTGCCATGTACACGGCTTAACGTCGCTTTCTCTGCATATAAATCTGCAAAACGGTTATTAAGCGTCAGGGATTATGATCTAGTCCTATTCATATTGTGAGCTTTATGAAACATTTGGTGTTTATGCAAATGCAGTTTCCAAACGAGTCCTGGTCATCCCTGTCACCTCCAAGCTGTTCAGCTGTGTTTGCGTTCAGCTCAGAAGATCAGCGTGCACAGAAGTGCAGCACGTGCGATTCTTTGGGAGGGCATCGTTTTCCATGCTCAGCACATTTATTAATAAAAAAAACCGAGGAGTAGCACGTTTCAATCTGCCTCTGAATTCATCATTTCACTTGTCCGGCTGAATGAACTGTAACAAATTGCAAACTGCGCCCGTTTGTGTTTATCTCCGCTCTGGGCGATATCTGCAGTCCCACAAGTCAGCTGAACGCTCAACGGAATTAAAAGTTTTAATAAGAAGTTAATTTAATTAAGAAAAACAGTGTTAGGAGTCTTTACTAGACCTGTCTTAAACAGCAGGGACTTGTAGCAGCTCTACAATTCTGTTTACAGTTTCATGATTAAACATTGATTATCAGTTTCTGACGGAGACAATCAATCTGCTTATCTGAAAGAATTTTACTCGCGTAGTGCAGCTGCTCAGTGGAGAAAGAAAGAAACTGTCTGACCTCTTGCTGGTTTGGGAAGTTTTTGCACGTTGAAATGTAAACATTCCTTCCATTCATCTTTCTCTCTGCCTCACCTCTTTCCTCAGATCAGTGACCCGTTCTTACTATCGAAACTCAGTTGGGGCTCTGCTGGTGTTTGACGTCACCAGCAGAGCCTCCTTTGAGCATATAAAAGAGTGGCACGTGGAGGTGTGCGAGCGAGTGCAGCCACACAAGGTCCTGTTCGTCCTAGTGGGTCAGAAGGTCGACCGAGATGCTCACCAGGAGAGGGCGGTGAGCCGAGAGGAGGCTGGGAAACTGGCCGGACAGTTAGGGATGCCCTATTTGGAGGCCTCGGCAAAGACTGGACAAAACGTGAGGGAGGCCTTCGAGCTCCTTACTCGACGGGTCTACCAGGGTCTTCTGAGTGGCGAAATAGAGCTGCAGGAAGGCTGGGATGGTGTCAAGTGTGCTGCCCCACAGGCGCTTCGATTACAAAGAAGCAGCGCATCTCAACCCAGCACAACCCCCAAGAACAACAAAAAGTGCTGTGGCTGAACGGCCGACTTGACATGGTCAGCTCATGTTACTGTACTGCAACACCTGCCCACCTGGATGAGGGATTTATAGCAGATTACACACAAATCCAGGAAGTTGGAGTTATGTGACATTTGTGACAAAAGATATTTACATTGAATTGGTTCAACTTCTCATACAGATATGGTCCTAAAAGTTGAGCAATAGAAGAGGCTAATAATAATAGTTTTAGTTATTGCACCACCAGAGGTCTTACATTTCTGTAAAATGTCCTCACTGCTGGTAAACTGATTACTGTTCAGTGCATTTATAGGTTTAAAACTCAGCAGAATTTTACAAACAACCATTACTTATTCAACCAAGTTACAACAAAAATGATGAGTCTTTTAGCATTAATATTTTGTTTTGTGTGCTCTACAAAATTAAAGCTTTGCAACGAGCAAATGAGGCTTTAATTGCAAAGGCTGTACATTATTTTTACATGTAAGGCTTAAATTATTTTTTGTGTTTTGCTTGGCCTACAGCCAATCACACTGACTGATGGGTTCAATAATTACTTGACATCAGCGGTAGCAGGAATGGTAAAGTGCTTTATGCTTTTTTCTTCAGTATGTCTTCTAATTGGTGCTAACAAGAGTATCGCCAACATGATACAGCCGTTAGTGAACTGTCAGAGTAATCAACAACCAAAGCATGAATTTTCTTTCACACAATCATGAATACGTGTCTGTATGAATGATTGTGGTGAGGTGTAAGGTCAGTTTCACTGATAACAACATTGTCCATGGTGTAAATCGACAAACAGTTCAATTAATGGTAGTAGACTGCACTTACTGTACATAGCACCTTTCTATCTTATCGAAATACTCAAAGCGCTTTACAACACAATCTGTACCCATTCATACAGCACCTATACAAAGAATAATCAGTGTTTTCACGTTCATACACCGACATATCGGAGGCAATGAGGGGTTCAGTGTCTTGCCCAGGGACACTTCGGCATGTGACTGCTGGTGGAATCAAACCCCCGACTCTTGCATTGGAGGACGACTGCTCTAACCACTCAGCCACAGCTGCACCAAAGAACACATGAGGTTTCAGGTTTTTCTGTTACTCAGATGTCAAGCTGGAAAATAGAAAAACCTGCTGGACCTCAAAAAGATTCCCCTGTGACTTAAGTTGTTTGACTTTGTGTCCCCTGGGCTCAACTTTAACCCATGAGGTGTTCAGCTGTGCAGTTTAACATTTCTGTGTAAAGGGTAAGGAATTTCAGAATCTGGGCGATGTGAGGATGATGCTGGAGATCGATTGATGGATTGTTGCCTCATCCTCAGTAATGAGAGCGTTGCTTCGGTCGGTCACGGTAAAGAGTTGAGTTGCAAGTCAATTCACTGGTCTTTCTACATTCCAACTCTCACTTATGGTCATGAGGTTTGAATCATGACTGAAAGAACAAGATTTCGGCTACAAGCGGACGAAATGAGCTTCCTTCATAGGACCGGGCTCAACCTTAAGGGTCAGGAGCTCTGACATCCGGAGAGAGCTCAGTAGAGCCGCTGCTCCTTCGCATTGAAATGAATCAGTTGAGGTGGTTTGGGCTTCTGATTAGATCACCTTCCTTTGGAGGTTTTCTGAGCACGTCCCTACTGGTAAGAGGCTCCTGGGCAGACCCAGAATTTGCTGGAGGGATTGAATATCTTCTCTGGCCTAGGAATGTCTCAGGATCCCCCAGGAGGAGCTGGAAAGTCACTGGGGAGAGGGATGTCTGGGTTTCTTTCCCGGACCTTTTGCCTCTGAGACACAACTATAGGTAAGAGAAGATGAATTTTCAACTTAGAGCTCGGACTTGAAATGGTCCAGAGACGAACGGTTCCCATCTGAAGACGAGTACATTAAAAATTGGGTGTGTCACCACCAGTTAGTCTGAAGTTCTGGGGTCATATCTCGTTTTATTTTGCACATCAAAATCTGTAGCTGACACTGGGAAAGTGGTTTCTAAGACTGGAAGGAGCCACAGAAAATATCTAAGGGGTTAGAAGGTGTAAGAATTTCATCATAAAGTGAAAGAATTGGTTTTCTTTGAAAAAAAATAAATTTATCATTTGGTACATGACCACACACTCAGGGACACTTGTTATAGCAAAAGCTTAAATAAGTCGATGGAAGTCATTGCACTACAAACATAAATAGTAATTCTTTTCCGTGTTTTACTTCGTCTGTAAACAGCAGTTATGAAGGTACTTTGATTAAAACCTTTGCCTTTATGTGACCTAATCTTGATTCTTTGTAATTGTAAATAAAAGTGATTGTTACAACAGCACAGCGCCTCACAAGTGATTGAATTGTTTGGGCTGATGTCGAAATTAAAACCTCCCGGGTGCCTATGAATATTGCTATTTTGAAACATTTATGAGGTCCACATAGCAATTATGATTCTTCCAACGAATAGTTTTCTTTTCCTGAAAACTGCACAATTTCCTTTGTTAAAAAAAGGTTAACAGTAGTTTATATATATTATTCTTAGCTCTTGGTTTTCTCGGAGTCTTCAAGTGAACTCGATGGACATTTTACCTCAGTTTGAGGATCCAAAGCATCGCACCGGACACCAGTGTTATTTTGAAATCACACACTTGGCATCAAAACCGTTTTAAAGTGACATTTGCTTTGGAATAGCTGTAAGCAAAACAAAATACACTCATTGATAACATTGCTTAGAATTGACAAGTTTCAGTATAAGGTAATCGAAACTTAAAACATATTTTTTTTATTTCTTTATTCTTACATTGGAAAATTCAGCTGAATAATGTTTTATTTCAGTCGAATGGAAAAATAAAAGTGTAAACAAGAGAGGTTCTTTGCTCAGTGACCAAGTCGTATTGGTAAGATGACATCAATCATTATTTAAATAGACCGAAGATTAAGGATAACATCTACATGCTTCGAAGTATAAAAAGCCCAATCATAAAACAGCGATTGTGACATTACAGAAAAGTATTGAAGTTGATATTTATTGACAAAAATTACAATGAAGTCCTGTCTTAGAGCAGTGGTAGTAACATAAGGTAAAACATGAAAATTGTGCACTGACAAAACACTCAAAAGTTAAGGAGACATGTCAACATTTATTTCAAAAGAAAAACACCCTTCACCAAAAACACTTATCTCATTTAGTGAAGAAAAAAAAGCACAGATTGGGTACAATATCATTTTTTGATGCTACTTTTTGGTTGTCTTGCGGATCAGTGCCATTCTCTGGAAGAAAAAAAAAATACAAGCAAACAATCAGGACAGATGATTCAATAAGAACGTTTTTCTACCTGTGCTACCACAAACTGAAACATTCTGACACAAATTGTCCAACAGAAACAGATTAATTGAATTTAACAGATTTTTTTTTTTTACCTGTTTATGAGCCTCTGTGGTGCACGCTTTCTTAAACGGTCTTATTTCATCTGACCCATAACCAGGTATCCACATGTTCCACTGACGCTCTGAGAAAAACACCATCAGGAAACAGTCCATGGGTCATATTCACACAACATGAAACACGTTTTAGTTCACTTTTGCAAACAGTGTCATAATATTTACAGGAAGCATCCAACATTAATTTAATGTGAGCTCTTAATATTAAAGTAATTCATCTATCAGATTAATTGTGGCCATATTTTGAAATAGGGCCAAGTACCAAAGACTAGTAAAAGTAATTTTGGATTAAAAACATACAATTCTATCATTTTTCTTGTACAATCTCTAGACAGAAAACCTACAGTTATGAAAGTATAAATGTTGCATTTTTGCCAAAAACACATGAACTTACCTAGATGTAACTGAACATCTTTAACCTCCAACGTGTTGGATTTACGATGGCGTGCTAGTTGACAGGCTGCCGTCACGACACTTTCTATAAAATCATCTGCAATTTGAAGCAGCATCTAAGGAGACACAGCAATTTTCAGTAGGTTTAAAAAAACACATTAAAGTCAAACTACTTTCACAGCCATTTGAGAAAAAAAAAAAAGAAGAAGCTAATTTTCAAATGCTCAAGCCAGAATTTATACAACCAGACTTTCCATTCAGTATTTTGACATTTAAAACAATAGCCTTTTATTTTGTTGGTCAGTGCGATTAGGATATGAATTCAAAGGGTTTTTGCATTTTAATATATTCTTAAGAGTGCAGCTTTGAAAACTTAAATTTAAAACAAATCAAAACAAATGTTTTAAAAAAAAAAATCACTGTAATGCCACTTTAAATGGTGATATGTGACTTATCTGTGCTACTGATTATCTCATGCGGCTGTATTCATTCATAACCATATACTCACCAGACTTATGTTCAGGCTGCTGTTGTTATGCCATATTGTTTTACATTATTAGTGTTTAGCATATATCTTACATCTTTTAGCATATTGTTTGGCGTTTGTTTAGCGTCTATTAGGGCTGGGCCATAACATATCGTTCACAATAATACCGGTAAAAAAAACTTGTCCGTGAAAATAAATTATATCATGATATGCTAATTTCATGACGTAAATACGTCATCCCACCACACAGGGGATTACGCTCTGATATTTAACAGTGACTGGAACTGCAGCTCAAACCTCGAGAGCAGCTGCTTTCCTGAGGATCAGGAAATTGGCTGATGGTTCTGATCAGCAGTCCTTTCAGGCAGCATTTCATTTGTTTTCAGCATTTGTCACAAGTTTTGGAAGTTATAGCTCATTTAAAGGCAACATATTTTTCCTTGTAAGTTACATTTATACTCAACAGCTTTAATTTTATTTAGTTTATTTGGGAACTGCCCCTGTGCTTTAGTTTTTGCAGTGGACTTTGTTGATCTATATTTTGTGCAGACTTTTTCAATCTAAATAACAGAAGGATAATTTTAATTTTTTTATTTTTATACTTTGAACTGAATACTTTACTAAATAAAGTAATTACAGTAAAATTAACCCTCGTTTTTTTAAATATAATACTGCAAAGCGACAAGTTCATTCCGTCAAATGAATAATTATTTGTTTTTTTTGTTATACCACAAAATGTATCGTTCTCATCAGAATGCTCTGAAATATCACGATAATATATTTGAGCCGTATCGCCCACCCCAGCGTATATCTTAGATCCTTATATACTATTTCTTTTTATACTTTATATTTTTGCTATTTTTAGGTGTAACGGACCCTGAGTACATCATTTTGTTCCACCTCATGTACCACATGTGATGCGAATGACAATAAACTTGACTTGAAAACGTACCTCTTCAACATCCTCATCCAGTTGCTCATTTGGGTCAATTTCTCTGACCAGGTCCTGCAGCTTCTTCTTACTGAGCACCTGAAGAAAATAATATATAACAGAAATTGTAATAACAGAGTTATGGGATTCCTCAAAAATATAAATAAATCAGGATAATTGTCATATTTAACAATACAGGTTTAACATTTTTTCCTCTTACAGAGACAGAATTAAGCAAAGACACAGGCAACAAAAAGTGAATCAAAGAAAATAAACAACAGAACTAACCTGTGATCCCTCTGGGCTGCTTCTGCCTGCAGGACCCGTAGGCATACCCTTCACTATTATTGGGGTGCTGTTAGCCATACTGGTGGCCACAAACAAAGGAAAAGTATCCTGTGGTTTTCTGGGGGATCCAAACTCAAGTGGCCCGTGCGTGAGACAGTGACAGTCCTGAATGGCTGTCCAAACCGGGCACAGATGTGCTGGATAACCTTGAGAAGAAAAGGCCAAATCTGGGGAAATCAGAAATATAACAAAACAGGACAAATGTAAGTAATATAGCTGAGGAAATGATTAATTAAAGAGTTTGATCAGTCATGTACTCCAAGTAGCTATTAGAGCATTTTAAAGTAAATTTAAATGGTAAAAACGCACCATGTAATTTTTAATAAACAAATGAGAATAAACTGATAACTATATGCAACCACACTGCATTTTATTTCAAATGTAAAGCCACTGTGGCTCATTTTTTGCCATACTTCTTGGATGTTTATCTGTCAAACTACGCTTAGCTCAAAATAAATGTAGACAATGACATAATGCCGAAATCACGTTTTATAGTAATAAAAATCGACAGATAGCAGGGTGATCGGCTCAGCTAATTTTATGCCAACAAATAACAACGAATACACCAGGAGCATTACAATCTGTACGTGCTAAAAACAATAAGCAGCTTTTCGATTTTGACGTTAGCCCCGAAGGCTAACGTTAGCTGCTAATATTGTAGCTTGGCTCTCTATTCACGCTGCACGTCAAAACTGCATCAATTTGCAAACTTACCCCGTTACACAATCACTATCTGTCCATATTTAATTATCGCTAAAGAACCAATGTAGGCTAAATCCACAAATAAACCCCAATTTGTCTCCGAACAGCGAAGACAAACCAGCCAAGACGGCTTTTCTGTACTTCCGCTTAGTTTGGGATCATTTCCTGTCACCGAGTCGCCTCTGCTGTGCCCCCTGCTGCGCATGCGTGGAACTACAACAACATGCTGAGCTAATCGAAAGCTAATCATTATTTTTTAAAGGGAAATTTTCTATTTTTAAACATAACAAAAGAGATGTAAAAATAACAACAACAACAAAAAAAATCAGAAAACCTGTTAGGTTAAAGTCTGCGCGACAAACCAAAACAGTTAATTTATTGTGATTCTGCGGTTTAAAAAGCGAAAGATTAGTGCCAATAAAGCGTAAAATGTTGGTGTTTGGTATTACGTATCACGCCGAAAAACACCACTTCACAACATCCCACGGTAGTTTTAAATTCTGCTGAACATCCAGAGGAAAACCCAGAACTTGAAAAAAAAATCGCAGACAGAAAACATTACAGCTGCTGTTGCGTGTGGATATAAATGACGCACCAGGAAAGCGCGTTGCCATTGGCGCATTTACTATTCCTATAATAAGTCCGTCAGACGTGCAGAGCAGCAAAAAATGACACCTGTCATCTTAGATTAAGCTGTATTAATGGTTGACCTATTTAGTTTGATTTATTTTCGTTTCTAAACTGAAATTTGTGCACAAAACCTTTCAGAATCAAACATTATGATCACTCACCCTGGGCATTAAAATAAAAGAGAAAGCCACACCTACAACGCGATGTACTAAAACTGAGGAAACTTTCATTTCTGTTTAGACGCAGTTCAGGACTCCAGGACTCTTATTTTAAACCGACTTTTCACAGCCATGAAAGAACTTCTGCTTGTTGCTGTGGTGGCTCTGATTCACGGCACCTCTGGTAAATATGTTTACATTTTTCATGAACAACCAACTCAAAAAGCTTATGTGCTATTTTTTTTTTTAATTTGTAAAAAAGATATTGGGTTATTTGCCTCGTGATTTTTATTTATTGTTAAGGTCAGAAATAACTTTGCGTGGCTTGTTTTCTGTTTGTGTGTCTAAGTTCATGTTTTGTAAGAGGAGACAGCCTCTAACTGGTTTTCCCTGGAGGTTACAACAGGCAGACAAAAACAGGAAATGTTAGAATTGTCTAGAGGCTGACAATAAGCACAAAAAGTTTCAAATATTTTATGTAAGCTAAATATAGACTTCTTTTGAGTGATTCTATAGCAATAAATTATGTTAAATATTTTATAATGAAAGTGAAAGACAGCACACTAATGTTTTTGGTCATGTGATCAGGGTGCGTTCAGGTTTCAACAGCCTGTAACAAATATCAGCATCATTTATAGAAAATGATGCTTTCAAGGCTCACTATTTGATTCTTTTTGCCAGTTCATACTTTGACTAATAACTTGTATTTCTGTCTGTCCATATGCAGCAACTTTGGTGATTAAAGGGCCAACAGAGCCAATTCTGGAGGGAGAGCCAGTCAAACTGGAATGCCTCTACATGGATTCAGACCTTAATGTGACCCAGGTCCACTTTGAGTTCCAACATCCAGTGAGTACTAAGATGTTTTGTTGGGTTCAGAGTGAAACGGAGAACACAACTCTACAGTGTAAATAGTAAATAATAATTATTAAAACTGTAGTATGTTCAAACAACTAACACTGAAAACAAAGTACCAATTGTAGACAGTGTTGTTTTTTTTATTGCAATTCACACTGATGACATCATAAGTTCAGTCACCTGAGCTGACATTTAAAGCAGTAAATAATGTGCATTTGCTTGTCCCCACATGTGCAGTTTATTCATTACAAGGTTTGAGCTGTTTTAAAGCAATGGGAATCCTGGCCCGGGGACTTTCTGGGTGGAGTTTGCATGTTCTCTCTGTGCATGTGTGGGTTTTCCCCAGGTACTCCGGTTTCCTCCCACAGAACAACAACATGCATGTCGTTTCAAGGAAACTGTTCATGTGTACTTTACTTTTTTACTTTCATAATATACCACATGTTGTCAGTGGTAACTGTTTAAAGATAAGGTTGTTTTAGTACACTGTACCTCCAAGTCATGGTGGTGCTAAAATATTTAACATCATGTTGCTGAAATATTGGTGCTGTCGCAAATTTGTTACCTAAACGCATCAATCCTTGATGTTGACTGTTAAACTGTTCTCTGGTAACACAAAGACTGTACTCTGTTTCATTCAGCCTCAAGGATTTGACATCTAAATTTTCTAAATCAATGTAAAGGTTTGATTAATCAATCCCCACAAAGCATTTTTACTTTAATGAGTGCAGTGACATTTATGGTTTTCTTGTTTATGTGCTTTTCTTGCATTACACACACACACACACACACACTTGTGGTTTTCAAGGCGACCTGCGTTCATGCCGTAACAAGTGCTTTACTCCACAGTAGACTCTGCAGGGTTGTGCAACGATCCACAATAATAATCAAATATAAGTTCAGTAGTTTTATGCTTCTAGAAAAAGAGTTGTTTCTTGTAAATATGGTTTGAAAACAAATTTACTCTATGCATTACAGCTGTCATGTACTAAAAGGGGACTGCCTTGAATGGCAGGCACCTATTATTATCCACCTGACAAAGCTTTCTTAACTTTATATTTTATGCTTCGTCAACTTTAATGCGTCCTGAACCGCAACGTGTACCCACGCAAATCTTGTATCAAAACGACCGGCTCAGCGCTGTGATGTGTGCTATTACTTTTATTGGCATTTTGAGTTACCATGGCAACATAATTCACGAACAAAGACGCCATTTTTCTCATTTAAAACGTCTGAAAGCACTCTAAAATGGCCACCAAGTGGCAGTCCCTTTCTAAGTTTCTCCATGAACTTTCTAGTACAGTGGTCCCTCATTTATTGTGGGGGATCTGTACCCTGAAGCCCCACAATAAGTGAAAAACCGCGAAGTAGGGATAATAGTACAAATAGTAAGTAGTAGTTCATTTATT